CTTCAAAATTAAACTTATATTTAATATACTACCTATACTTTTTTTTTTCTAATTCAGCTATTCTGCCTTTGTTTATTTGGGATCAAGTTATTCAAAATTACAAGTAATTTATCTCTAACTAAAGTAGATTCGACCAAATAAAGAACTCATCTACGTGATTTTATACACCAAGTGTGACCTGCCTCAGTAGCTCTTGGCCTCCCTCAGGGTCCTTAACTCACTAAGGACTTTTTTTCCATTGTTTATCAGCTAGTGGCTACCTGCTTATCAAGAAGCAAAATCAGAAACTAAAACAAACAAACTAAAAAAAAAAAATACAGAAGTATAGGGAATACGGTAAAAGAATATAGAATATGAAAAAAAAGGGGTAAAGGAATATCGAAAAAAAACAAAAACAAAACAGAAATGCTAATCTTAATGCCACAGTTATTAGCCTGTGGGTGGCTTAGAAAAATTACATACTGACTAGACAAATTAGTCTCTACTTCTATTTTTCTCTAAACTAGTATGCGAAAATAAAAACCCAATAGAAAAAACTTCATCGACCGGCTTAAGGTAGAGAGGTCGGAACAGAGTCTCAGAGCATTGTTTGTACGGATATCTATTGCATTCAAGGCACGTGTATACACATGTTTGTTATCACGTTTTGATTTGGGAGATAAACAATACCGACTTGTTTGGTACACATGATGTTGATTATTTGGAGAGAATAAGCTAAAATGCCCACTTTTTACAAAAATTTCCTCGAAAAAAAGTGATGGGCCAACAAGAGTATGTAAGATTCTTCTTATAAGTTTTACAGTTGTATAGTTCAGCTTCTCCATTTCTACCACTTAGGAGTGCACTTTTGGCTACTTCTACAGACTTGTTCTCAGAATAAACCTTCTGGTTTAAATGCCGAATGCTTTGGGGAGTCCACCAGAAAGAAAACTTGACCCCAAAGAAAACTATCTGTTCTTTTTGGCACCCGCTCCTTAGTATTTCAAGCCTAGACAGCTTAAACTTCGTCGACAACAAGCTGCTCCTACTTATAGAACCAAGTTTTAGTATTCATTTCATCGCTTTTCTATATGTTTTGCTGTAGTTCAGTTTTTGTTGTTGTTGATTAGAGGATCGTCAGAAAGAGTTTTAACATACTATCTATACTATCAAATATACACACATAATATTACTAATATTTTTCAGATATTAATTATATTTTATACAATTCTCATAAAAGTCATATGCATTAGCTTGTATGTCTAAACACAGTTAATTTTAACACAATTATCACTAATACAATACAACAATTTTTATATTTTTCTAAACTTGAAATAACAAATACACAATGTCAGAAGTTACATTATAAACTTACTTATTATCCAAGTCTATTATTTAATAATTATACTAGAAATAATACAAATATCTGAATAACTATACAAAGATTTATATCTATTGCACTTATACAAACTATTAGAGAATATACAGACTTTAACAAAATAGTAACAAATACTACTATTTTACTACTTCTGCAATTATTTCAAAATATATACAACCTAATCTAAAAACTATACTGTGCCAAGTTATTAAACTGAAAACAACAATACAATATATCTATATATCAATAGAAACCAAACAAGACAAAATATTATATCTACTTTCAATAACTTATAACAAAGAATACTATATACTTACAGCTGCTGCTATAGTTTACCTGACTAACAACATATAGACAATGACTATTCACCACTTGAAAAAGCAATAAAGAAAACCTTTATATAATTAACTACTTGGATAAAATATAATATACCCACTAATAATATTATACATTATAAAATCTAGATGAGTTGTTAGATATTCTATAGAATAGATGAGCAAACTCTGCAAACTCTGCAACTCTGCTATTAAAAAATTAATGATTACTAATCATTAGTGAAGCTTATTTCTTATACTACCTACCTATTCTATAGAATATTTAAGTTTTAACCACTCTAGTAAATTTAGATTGCTAATAAATTAAATAGTTAAATATCTATAATCTGAGTCTCATTTTTATAAAAAATTTGTAATTATTGGTCTTATAGATTAGAGAAACCTTTAGTGGATTCTCAATACAAATTATTAATAAAGATAAAGACAAAACCTCACCTTTCAAAAAAAAATAATAAAAAATAAAAAATTCATATAATATTATTTTTTAAATAAATTTCTATCTTGTTGAATATTCAAGACAAACAAATTAAAATGTTTGATTTTAGCAAACCAAAAATTATTCTCAAAAAAAAAAACTTGAAAAACACATAGAATTATATATAGAAAAAAACCTCAGATTAATTGAAATTATTTGTTAATACATATTTCACGTAATATAAAAAAATTTTCAATGAATGTATGTATGTATATATAATTCCATAAAATCTTGATTTTTGTTAGAACCATATGTACAACCCTGTAAAAAACAATATAGTATGACATACAATTCGGATAGATTAGTGAAGCCGACCAAAATTTGGGTCAGAATAGGCCCGGAGCTAGGCTGACATTAAGCAATAATACAAGCCAACTATAATATAGCAAAATTATCATCTAGGCAGCTTTATTTAGTACGTAAGCTAACATTTTATTAGTAAAATTTTGGAGAAATTGATCAATTCCGGCCTATTCCGACCCTAAATTTTGGTCGATCTGCTGAATTTTGGTTGCTCCACTAATCTATCCTACAGTACTAGACAGCAAGAAATATCCAATATTAATACCCCTTAGGGACGCTCTCAAATTTGTACTACTCTGTTTGCTTTTTTTAGGTATTTTTAGGTTATTTTTAGGTCATTGTGCGCAGACTTGTATTTGATTTTTGTCAGTTTTAATTACAAATCGAGAAATTCAGAGTTTCACGAAGATGGTTGCGTTGTATATTATACTCTCAAGGTGATCATGATCATGATCATGATTATGATCACGATTGTGCTCGATGTAAAAGAAACTTAAAGAGGACGCAAGACTGGTCTTATACGTTACTCGTCCTTTGAACCTTTTTTTCGGCTTTTTTTCTTTATGTTTACTAATCTGCTTTCTTATAATTCCTCAATTTTTTTTTTTTTCGATCGAATTTTTGTTAGGATGATCAGATGATAATCAATGATCGTCAAAGACTAAAATGAAACCTCAAAGAAATGATTGTTAAAGACTAAAATGAAACCTCGAAGAATTTATTTGATGTTCACTTCTATATCCACCTTTATTCATTAGATTAAAAAGTTGGTAATACATATTCGTTTATAACTTAAACAACTGCATAAGAAACCATCTTGAGTGTGTTACCAAAATTTCCTTGAACAATTTATTAAACACTCTATAAACACCTAACTCTATCGTACTCACTACCCCTAGCTTAGATAAATTTAAAGATTTTTTACTGCTTCACACATACTGCTATGTGTCCGAACACTCTTGGTTGCATTACAAAACATAATAATTTATGAGTGTCTTTGCCCACGTCACTATTCACGTACAATACTTATCAAAACAAAAATTCTTATTTACTTAATTAACCTATTACGCGCACAGTACGTAGTACACTGCTGACCTTATCTTACATCAAAATAAAAAAGACTAAGCCTCTTTAATTATCCAGTTAAATACTTGCACATATTTCCAAATATAATCTAAACACTTATTTATGTACATACCATCTTATTCTTCTACTCTCGAACTTGACTAAACTTGTCGCTTATGATATTTCACAACATTTATGCATAATTAATAATTTACAACCAATATTTAATACTTCTATTAAAACTAAACCTGAATAATCGCACCAATTTTTACAAACAATAATACGCTAACTTAGACTTATCTTGCAAGTTTCTACAAGTTCTCACTATTTCTAATCTACAATTTCTAATAATAACCTCTTAACCTCAGATCACATACTATATAAAAAGAATTCAGTAAACTAAATCAAACAAACAAAGCATTCACACCAATCAATCCGTACATATCTTGGAATTATACAAATTTAGTCGTCAAAACCAAAAAACAACTTTACTACAAAAAATATAAATCTAACCGAAAATATAAAAGGAAAATCAACATATGTTAGATAAAAAACAATCGCTTAAATAGTATCGAGATTTATTAAACAAAAAATAAATCAAGAATCTCAAAAGGTTTTAATCTCTAAATATACTTACATTCTATATCAAGTTTAAACACGAACCTCTAAACCTGAACTTTTTAACATCCTCAAATGAATTTAACAAGTTCCATCATTTTGAAATTCCTAAATTATTCATTATTGCAAATAATGCGCAGGAATATAATTTCGAATTTCGTTCTAACATCAAACTAATTTTCTAAATAACACCCACGAACAAAAATACAGTTATATATTATTACACTCTTCTTCAAATTATCACAAAATGATGTTGCACATATTTTTGTGCAAAACTTCTTTTTGAATCTTTAATTATTTTCAAATCCAACACTTATTATAACATTCGCTAATATTACTTCGACGCGTAATATTATAATATCTATTTTCACCAAACTTCGAGTACATACCTTACTTATACCTCATAAATTATAATCTTTGATATCTACCAGATTAAGAACATTATCAATATACTTATCGACCATAAATAGATATCATCACGACATTTTCAATATTTCCTGAAAAATAAATAAATAAACAGCCGATAAGTAACTTTAGGAAAAAAAAAAAATTGAATCTACTTACTTGATATTCAACCTGATCTTTAAAAATGTCTTTGTCAGTACCCAAACACTCGATTATCGTCTAATTTACCTCAAAAAAAAAAAGCTTAAAAGTAAAAACCAAAATAATAATAAAAAAAATCTATAAACTTGCTTATTATTATTAAACTAAAAAAACCAGTTCTAAAAATCATATCGCTTTAAAAAAAAAATAAAATAAATACATAAAATAAATAGATACAGTATATAAAACTATCATATTAAAAAAATTCCAGCACCATCATTTTCTTCGTAATAAAAAAAAAATGACTTTGATCTTCATAGCCTTATGTTTTATCAAAACTATCTCAGGAAGTGACAAATATATCCATGGAAATGCCCTTTACAGAACTACCAATCCTGAAACCGAATTTAGGGAATTAACCTACAAAGGTTTTATTACGACCCAAGAATCCTTAATTACAGAATTAGAAAAAAATTCAATAGTCTTAATGGTCGGGCGCTATGTCCTCGAAGATACAGAATACGTAAACATAACCTACTACAAATATAATAAAAAATAAAACATTAACCACGCAAAATTAATTAATTGGTTCTCATAATCCGGCCAAGTCAAATTCTAAAATTTTTACAAAAAATGTTTTATATTTTAATAACCGATAAAATTAAAAAAAATAAAACCATCCTGCTATATCTACTTAAAAACTTTCATGCTACAAAAACCAATAAATTAAATTTGCGTTACCCTAAGTCTCCTTTTTTTTAATTATTATTCTGTTTTACTGTTAAAAAAATTTAGCTTGCCTTAGTACAAACCATACCAATCTCCACTTCTGATGAATTCGAAATCACTCTGAATCACCTTCCTCATACACCACCATTATTGTTATTTTCTGCTTCTGTCATCCCCGATTCCTACTTCTCCAACAATGAACTCGGCTTAGAAAGTCTCATGCTTGCTAAGAAACTTTACAACAGTGTTAATGGCCACAGAAATGTAGAATCTGAAGTAATTGTGTCTTACGTGAATCAAAATGGTCGTTACGATGCGCTAAAAAATAACCTGAAAAGAACCATCCTTTCTGTAATTGGAAGATTAAAAATTGGTGCTAAAAAAATGCTTCATATCGTAGCCTCTGACATCGAATGGAACTATGCCGGCGAACAATCCTCTGACACCCCAACTAAAGGAAAACAAAAAGCTCAAAATAATATTAATACCCATCTTAAAACCATCGAAGAAAAATACGCAAAATTAAACTCCTCTCCTTCACGAAAAAGAAAATCAACTTTATTAACCACTTCTTTTTCTTCTTCAAAAGCGCAAAAGCCTTCCCCTGAATCTCAAACCAATTTCTTGGATGCCGTAGCACAAATTAAAAGTAATACTCCAGTATCACAAGATAATGCCAATCCACAAGATAATCCTGACAACATTGACGAACCAACCACCATTGAATAATTTTTTTTCTATAGTATCGGACATAGAGATTGTACCCATATAAGGTTACCCAGGTAACCCGCATAACACCCATTAACCGGGTCATAACCATTGCTACCCGGGTGACCCGTATTAG